GGGACGGGGGACTAGGGGAGCCCCGGGCGCTGCAGCCGGGGGAGTCCCTGGCGGGGATGGGGGTGTCAAGGGAGCCCCGGGCGCTGCAGCCGGGGGGCGGGGCTGGGGGAGTCCCCGGCGCTGCGGGGAGGAAGGCGGGGGGGGTGTCAAGGGAGCCCCGACGCTGCATCCGGGGGTGTCGGGGATGGGAGGCCGGGAAGTCCCCAGCGCTGCAATGGGTTCGGCCCCCAGCTCCGCACAGTTCGGACTCACCGGCGCTGTAGGGGCGCCTGGAGCCAGGCCCCAGGGAGCGGGCTGCTGGCGCCGCCGCCTCCGGCTTAAGGCGCTCCGAGCCCGGCGTGGAGCCGCACAGACTCCGCTGGCCCTGCAGGAGGCTCCTGGCCACGCAGCGCTGGAAGAAGCCCATGATGCTCGGACCCGGGCTGCCCGCTCCCCCCGCCCCCCAGCGGACCGGGACAGCAGGGCACAGACCCACCGCTGGACTCTGCTTTCTCAAGCTGGATTTTATAGTCCGCCCCAGGCTTGTTCGGGGCCGGGGAAGGCTCCCCCCTCCTCCCCGGTCCCGGCGAGGAACAAGGGAAGTGTCAGGTTTCCATCCCACCCCTTAAAACGGACGTCAGCCTCCCAGGCCGCTGCGCTGGCTGCTCCCTTCCCCCGTTCCCCCTGCACCGGCTTCAGGGGGCCCCAAGCCGCTCCCCCACCCCCGGCCCATTGCATAGAGGGTACCAGCCACCTCAGGGCGCACAGCTCCTGCCCTTAGAGTGCAGCCAGTCCAGAGCAGACCCTGCCCCTCTCCAGGCATTCACCCCCGGGGGCTCCCTAGTCCCTCCCCTGGAATCCTGCTCAGCCTGGTTATCCCCCTCTTCCCCACAGCTGCCAGGGGCCTGTCCTCCCCCTGACCCCCACACCCAGAGGCCAAGGTGATAGGCACAGCACACAGGAATCTCCATGAAGGGGTTAGGCTCCCACTGAACCACACTTCCCCTTAGCAAACGCAGGGGGAGGCCTAGCACAGCAAATCCAGTCTGGGTGCAGGTTACCCTAAGGTTGGAAAACCCTAAAATCCTCAGCCCTTGCACATCCCCTTGGGAAGGGAGGGCAACTGTCATTCAACCAACCCCCTGAGAGACCCTGTGTAGTTTATAGCTCATCCACCCAGCCCAACATCTCTCCTAGGCTCTCCCCTGGGTGGAAGCTATGACCTCCCCCCACTTTACAAGCCAAAGTGGGGCTGGGGCAGTAGCTGGCTCACGGCTGCCTGTGCATGTAGCTCCAGCGGCAGAGAGCAGCAAGGCGTGAGCTGTGCTTCCAGGAGGGAAGTTGATGCAGCACAGCACCTAGGAAACACACTGCTGGCAGGAACGGCTGGTAAGTTATTTGGTTTCGTGGGCCGGGCCAGAGGAGTGGTAGGAACCATCTACTATGATACGTGGAAAGGCTGGGGCCTTGACTAAAATTCTTTGCCTGCACACGTGCCCGCACCCGCACATCACCTCTGACTTTCCCAGTCACAGCTGTGGGAGTGCTGCCTCTCCCTCTGCAGAACCCACCTACAATGGCAGCTGTGCATCTGACAGAACAAGGAGTAATGGTCTCAAGTTGCAGTGGGGGAGGTTTAGGAGGGTGGTGAAGCCAGTGGAATGGGTTACCTAGGGAGGTGGTGGAATCTCCTTCCTTGGAGGTTTTTAAGGTCAGGCTTGACAAAGCCCTGGGTGGGATGATTGAGTTGGGGATTGGTCCTGCTTTGAGCAGGGGGTTGGACTAGATAACCTCCTGAGGTCCCTTCTAACCCTGATATTCTATGATTTGCTCCTGTGGAGAAGGAAGTGCAGCCACACCCCCACTCCTTCAAAGCAGAAGTGCCTCTGCTGGTTTTAAAACCCTCCCTGAATTGTTCCACGTGACTCCTGGTGTCCTTGCTTACTCACTGCTTCAAGCATGTCTGTCCTTCCGTAGGGTCCTGCCCCCAACCCCAGTGATGGGAGAGCCTTCATTGCAGCAGCTTCTTCTGGCACCTGGAGCAGCCTTCCCACCTGACTCTGGGACGGTATCTTCCATTATCTGACTCCCCTTTGGGTCAGGATTTGCATCGCCACACATAGGCTGGATTGGGTTACTTTGATTCTTGGTCTGGATCTAATCATTGTTGTGCATGTTTGGAAAGAGATTTTAGGCAACTGGAGTGCAAGCTCCTCGCTCCCGGCAGTACCCATGCACCCCATTCACACACACACGTGACCGTTGTTAGTCACATCGCTCAACTCCCTCTTGGAAGGCACTCATACTCCAGTGATGAGCACAGCATATGAATAGACCAGAACACAGCGTTACTGCTGCAGCTCAGGCCTGACCTGGTGTTTCTCTGCCAGCCTCCCCCTACAGAGTGCCAATTGTGCCAAAATGTGTGGGGATTCAGGGATGTGAGCAGACATCCTGTGGGAGTATTAACTTCCCATGCATGCTGCTGGAAATACAGATATCAGCATGATTCCTTCATCCCCGGGGGAACAAAAGAAAGAGACCCAAGGTAGCTAGAAGCCCCATTAGAGGCCTTTCCCAATTAATAGAAATATTTAATTGTGTGGGAATCTGGAAAATAGCTCTCAAGGTGTAACACTGTCAGGGACAGGTTCACACTCCTGGGAAGTCTCACTAATGAGGAGAGAGGCAGCAAAACCGAAAGTTTGCATTAGAATACAAGGGGGGGGGGGAAAGAGGGGGAAGAAGGGATATCTCAGTGGTTTGAGTATTGGCTTGCTAAACCCAGGGTTGTGAGTTCAATCCTTGAGGGGGCCACTTAGGAATCTGGCGCAAAAATCTGTCTGGGGATTGGCCCTGCTTTGAGCAGGGGGTTGGACTAGATGACCTCCTGAGGTCTCTTCCAACCTTGATATTCTATGATTCTAAGAATATGAAAAGGGGTGGTGGTGGGGGGAAGCATTTAAAAACTGATGCTCCAAAAAATGTTTCAAATAACATTCAGAGTTTAGTCTAAGTAGGCGAATCTGAAGGAGAAGAGGGAAGGGAGGTCATTTAGCACTTTGCATCATCTCCCTGTTACAAACAGGGAAACAGAGGCATAGAAACTAAAGCCACTTGCCTAGAGTTACACAAAGTCAGGGCACAGGTGAGAACAGAAGTTGGGTCCTCCTGCCACCCAACCCATTTCCCCATCCACCAACAGGCAGCGGATGGTGGCTAGTGGATGGTACCACAGCTGCAGTCACCACAAAAGCATCTTGTGGATCTTTTGTACAGAAGATGGTTTGCTTTTATTAAATCTCTGGTCACCATTAAAAGATCAGGTTTCAGAGTAGCAGCCGTGTTAGTCTGTATCCGTAGAAAGAACAGGAGTACTTGTGGCACCTTAGAGACTAACAAATTTATTAGAGCAT